GACCTCGAGGAGTCGTCGTACGATCTGGATTTCGGAGTTGTCTCGGCGGATACGAGATGCGACTCGGACGAACTCGGCTGAAACCACGGATCTCGGAATGGACTTGAGCCACTTGACGTTGAAGGGAATCGATCCAGCGGGGAAATACTTGACCAGCTGGGCGCAGTCGGCAGAGAGAAGTCTGGTGTGGTGTTGCTTGTCGAACCACTCGGCCCAGATACGAATGCCCACAGTCTTGGTCGAGAGCAGAGTCCTCACGTCGCTGGAAGTTGCCTTGAGCTTCACGAGACTGCAGGCAGGGAGCATCTCGATCAGCTCGGGGATCGAGAGGACGGTCAGGAGGACAGGGTATGTCTCTTCGATTCCCAAGGAGATCAGCTGCTCATGGAGGCGTTGGCGCTTGGCAGCACGGGTGCTCATCGAGCGGGTGATGCGCTTGGTAGCCTGGGAGGACATGGCGATGAAGGAGAGCTGGTTGGATGGGGCCCTCCAGCAACGCACACTGGGCTCCCTCATATACCCCATGGCCAGCGGCGCCTGGGAGACGATGGTGGCCAGGTGACAGGGTGTCCAAGCCCAGCCCCTATCTCCGCCGTCATCCCGGGCGCTGTGTTCTGCCCCTTCTCTCTCGCCATCTCACCAACCCCAGCTCCAGCTCCTACACGATTACAGCCTCGCCCGATGCCTGACACCAGCCACCTCGTCATCCCTATGGACTTTCGCTCACGCGACCTCTACAAAACCGCCATCGGCCCATCACCCGCGTCCAAATGGACCATGGTCGAATCCTCTTGGACGCAAGAGAAGCAGTCGCTCGTGCCAGGGGCGATCTCGAGTACTCTGGCTACGCCCGCCCCACCACCACCGGTCAAGAAGGTGTTCGCAGGATGATGATCGCCAATATCTGCACCAGAACGCTTCCTGGCATCCCTGTGGTCTACCTCAAGTTCAACGACAGCACCACGCCTCAGCTTCCCTTTGTTGATATGAATGGTCTCGCTGCGATCCGCCAGCGTATCGAGCCTGGCTTTCGATACCCAATGTGAGCTTCGAGGGGCAGATCAATACACCCGCATTTTCGCTTGTCCATGTCGTTCCGATTGGTGTGGCGTCAGCGGCGCGTGTCGCAATCTCCGACTCCGTTGGGTTCTGTCCGATGGGAGGTGCCTTAGCGACATCCGCCACCCCTGCCATTGATCTCGCATCCCAGCTTCAGCTCCAGCTCCAGCAATGCCTGCTTCCAGATCCAAGCGTCGTGCTCCTGCCCAACGCAAGAAACCAGCGCCTCTCCCGCCCAAGCACACCACGACCGAGAAGGAGGAGTGTCCTGTCATCGTCATCGACGACTCGGATGCAGAATCCGACATCACCTGCGACATCGATCCATCGGAGGTCGTCCCGGGAACGCCAGTGTCGCTCGCCGGTCTTGCAGTCGACGATATCGTGCCCGTCGAATTTGGCATCGATCCAGGCTCGACGACAAGCGTTGGAACCGCGAAGGGAGGAATCGCTGTAGCCAGGCCCCAGATGGTCGAGCAAAGCGTATGTGCTTTGACCTCCGTGCAGCAACCAGCTCCCAGGGCAATGAAGAATCGTCGCCAGGCGGTTCCGAAGCCCGCCGGTGCAACGATCTTTCGTGGGCATCCACTTCTCGAGCCCTATCCTCAAACCAATGCGGATGGAACGGTGAACCCGATCATCGTCTTGGATTCCTCTCAACGACAGCTTCAGTGTACACCCCTTGGCCGACTTCACAAGATCACCCTCGGGAATGGCCAAATATTCTGCGATGCTCGAGAGGTCATTGCACTATCCGACGACAAAATGTTCGATGGCTATGATCCCGATGGTATTGAGGATTATGCCTCTGTAGCCTCGTCGATTCGACGTAAATGGGCAGAGACCCTCCATTTCGTTCCTGCCGCGTATGTCAAGTTCAAAGGCTTGGCAAACCCCCTCCCCTTCGTGGACGATCGTGGGTATATTCAGATTTTGCGCTGTGGCAGAGGTGAAAGATGCAAGGCGCTGAAAGGGAAGTTCGATACGCTCATTGGCGAGGTTTTTGGGCGATCTCGCAAAGTGCTCGAGTACCTCCAGTCTGACGACCATGGAGATGACAATTGCGAGAATGAAAATGCAATTTTTGTGACTGGAGTGAGGTCGCGCCAATAAATATCGCTCGTATTTCATGACTGACGCCTGTGGGAGTACTGAGTCGCGATTGAAAGTGCGTTGGGGAGCTCATGGGATGGCGATGGTGCAGCGCCAGTCATGTGTGTGGCGGTGCACAGACAAGCCAGTTTGTGGCTGGCATGCGGGGCTGCGCACCAATTCGAACCACTCAGGTTCCAGCCATACTGCCATCGGGCGACGGTGCGTCAACCCCGACCCCCATGGGCGACATGTCCCGCAGCCTCCGTCCCCGACCCGGTTCAAAAGGGTGCACCCCCGCCCAAGGTGGTGCCCTGCCATCTTCGCCCGCCGTTTCCTCCTTCGCCAGCGATCTCTAGCCTTCTTTTCTACCCCATCATGCCCAAGACGAAGCGATCTGCTTCTGCTGCCGCCCCCCGACCCAGGAAGAGATGCGCTGCTGCCCCGGCCCCAGTCCAGCCCGAACCCATCAATGACTCGATCCCTTCCGATCCTCCCGTCGAAGAACCGAGCGCTTCCGATCTTCCCGTCGACACCGAGGTTCTCATCACTGTCAGCCACGAGATGGAGGATGAAGATGCAGCCACTGCCGAGCATCCCATCGGTCAGGAAATCGAGGCTCCCCCCACCACCTCAGAAGCGTCTACTTCCGACTCAACTACACGCTTCAACGGCCACCCGCTCCTTGATCCGTATCCCTTGGATATGCTCCCGAACCGTGGTATCTTGGCCGACGGGTCATTCAATCCGATCATTGAGTTGAAAGATTCCGCTAGGGAGCGAATCGAAACTCTTATGGGGCACGTTACGACCGTCACTCTTGACGACGGCCGCATTCTCTCGGATGCTCGCGAGGTGATTGCTGCTTCGGATGGCAAGGACTTTCACGCATACGCCAAAGACTCGACTGATGTGGCGGCCAAGAATCGCAAGAACATCAGGAGCAAATGGTCCAAAACTTTGGATTATGTCCCAGCCGTTTACATCAAATTCGATGATGCGACTAGAGAGGTTGCTTTCGTCGATCGTCGAGGGTATATGGATATCATGCTTAGGGGTATCGGAGAACCATCCGCAGTCGAGAGAGAAAAGCAGTTGCAAGTCATGATGGGTATCTATGGAAACGATGCGTCTGTTCTTGCCGAAACGACGAGGGAAGTCAATCAGGAAATCAACCGTCCTAAGAGCGAGAATAGAATTATCATATTCATGAAGGGTGCCGAGTTCGAGAACGCTCACCGTTGATGAATACAATTTTATTACTGTCTATCCAATAAAAAACGGGACACCCGGTTTTTGACCATTGATCAAATATTTTGTTACCCAAAACCATCGCGCGCTGACCATGACCATTCGCCACACATCCGACTTTCGCACCGCCGCATTGCGATGCTACGCCCTCATCCATAGCCTGCGTAAGGTCGCCTCCATATTCAGTGTATCCAAGAGCACCATCCATCGATGGCACCGAGGATGCAAGCTGGATGACCCATCCCGGGTCCCAGCTCGCAGATCCACTTTCTTCGAGCAGGCATGTCCAGTCATTCGCACCCTGATTGAACAGGACCCGTTCCAGACTGGTCCTGTGTTGCGATGCAAGCTCGAGTCCATCCTCCAGAGGAAAGTATCACTCTCACTCTGCCACACTGCCATCCACCGAGCAGGTCTCTCACACAAGAGAGCCACACACCTCTACAAGTCCAAGCGACTGGATGAGCGAGTAGCACAGTTCAGGGACGAGACCTGCTCCATCGACCCGCACCGACTCGTCTTTGTTGACGAGACAGGGATCAGGATATCCATTTTCCCACTCTATGGATACTCGCCCAAGGGTGCTCCGCTTCGCCAGCGCAATCACATGAAGCACAAGTCTGTCTCGGCTGCATTTGCCATCAACCACTCTGGTGTGCTGCATCGCATGTACCAAGGGCTATGCATCCAGCCCTCGGAGGCAGCGGTTTGCTCGGTATTTTGAGCAATTCGAGCACCACCGACGCCGTCCCAATCACCATCATGGAAGCGTCAAGGTGGCCTCGACGAACGAGTTCAACACCTCGCAGGTGTGCTCCAACTGCCTGAAGCCCTCTCGGCTGAGGGATCTGGAAGCACCCAGCGTTGCGAATTCCCACTTTGTCAGGAGCTGCAAGAATCCCAGCTGCCTGACAGTGTGGAATCGCGACGTCAATGCGGCGCGCAACATGATCACAGTATGCAGGTCGATTGTGGAGACCGGAGAACGACCGGTGGTCTTCACTCGGAGGTTACCAAAGTGATCTGTTTTATTTCTTGTGGCATTGCTTGACGCATGCCATCACATACTACATGTTTATGGAAACGGCTGTGGTGTCCCGTTTTTTTCTGAATATAGTGTACTCCATATCCCACGTCCAGCGATCCAGATGCCAGCGAAGCGAGTCATGTCGATGCGATTGTCATGGACGTGGTTTCCCTCCCACGTCCAGCGATCCAGATGCCAGCGAAGCGAGTCATGTCGATGCGATTGTCATGGACGTGGTTTCCCTCCCACGTCCAGCGATCCAGATGCCAGCGAAGCGAGTCATGTCGATGCGATTGTCGTGGACGTGGTTTCCCTCCCACGTCCAGCGATCCAGATGCCAGCGAAGCGAGTCATGTCGATGCGATTGTCGTGGACGTGGTTTCCCTCCCACGTCCAGCGATCCAGATGCCAGCGAAGCGAGTCATGTCGATGCGATTGTCGTGGACGTGGTTTCCCTCCCACGTTCAAAGCTCCAATTCCCCTTATTCCAGCCTGGGACGAGTACGCACTTCAGAGTTTATTGATTTGCCTGGTAGAATGCTGTACGTGCGTCATGAATACAAAATATCGCCTAGATGACAAGGCGAGCACCATACTTTGCCTTCATTGCGAGAAAGGTGTTCGTGGTCGTTGCATCAAAGATGAACAAGTGCGCAATGACCACGATGAAGGGGTGAAGCTGGGAGATGTAGCCTGTGACAACAGCGCCTCGAATCTGAGAGATGTTGGATCTCCAAGTGGCGATCGAAACACCAGCTGTCACCAAGAGCTCTTCGAACCAGACACTAACAATGCGAGCGAGCAAATCGAACTTGCTGCCATTGGCGCTGATTCCAAAGTACTCCTTCAACCCAGCATCAGCGTCGATGAGCTGGCGAACCGTCTTGAAGTTGGCGGGGTTGGGATCGACAGGCTCGGCAAAGGCAGCCTTGAGGGCGGCCACATCGAGCTTCTGGAAGGACCAGCGTTCGTCGGGAAGCTCCTCGATCACAGGAGCAGCAGGCTTGGGTTGAGTGTCCGCGACAGGTGGACTTTGTCCATTGACGAGAACAAGGATACTCTGAGCCAAAAATTGGATCGTCTCGTGATTGCCGTTGCTGGCTCGACCCAAAGACTCCAGGGTTTTCATCGCAAGCAACTTCTGCCGGCCCTCCCAGAATTGCTCATGAAGCAAACTCTTCTCATCCGATGGGATGGCCGAGACCAAAACAGGGACGATATACGAATCGTCTTCGGCCCGATCTTGGACGTCGCGCTTTCTCTTCAAGGAGACGGTGGCATCCTTGCTCGACACGGCGGTCGGGGTAACTGTGGGTTCTATGTGATATGCGGGGTGGTGTCAGTCAGTCGCTGGCAAAACGCAATGGGCTATGGCGGATCCTCGGTGGATGGCTACAAATCCAGCATACTCACCAGCAACAACAGCAACGTCCTCCATTGCATGATCGTCTTGGTCGACCACGATCGTGTCTTCGTCGAGCTCCTCGCTGGCAAGGTCGTCTCCCTGATCGGATGGGGCCTCGGTGGGGGTAGCAGGAATCGGCTGCACAATGCTCTCGACGGGATCGACTGTACCGCTGTTTTCGTCGGGCTCGGGCACACTCTCAGTGAGGTCGACCTCAGTATCAGGAGTATCTACCTGAGCCTCGGTGGGAGCCACGGGAGCTGGGGTATCGAGTTCTGGATACTTGCTCCTCAAAAAATCATCATCGGTGTCGATGTCCCTCAAGACCTTGAAGTCGCAATCGACGACAAGACGCAAGTAATCGGGGAAAGAAATGAAGTAGGGGTAGGCACGCGAGTTGTCGATCGAGATGGAAGGAATGGTACATCCTCTGACAGCATGGGCACGCAAGCGCTCGAAGGTATTGGGGACACCAAAACGGGTACACAAACGACGCTCAGATCTGGAGTGGAGCGAAAAGAAGGGAGCGATGCGAGCACACTCAGCAGAATCAAAAGGGCAAACGAGAGCGGTGTAGATCGCGAAAAAGGCAGCGAGATCGGTGTGGCTGCCAAAGAGATCGTAATGGTGGCAGGTCTCCTTCGTGAGAGTGGAGCGCCTGTCGTACACCTTGTTCTTCTTGATCAAAGCTTCGGCGGTACGACCGAGCCCCGCGAGACCGGGAAAGCTTCGAAGGACTCGGGCCTCGTATCTGACGAAGCCTCGGAGGATGAAGAAAATGTAGCGACGAGCGAGGGCAAGATGCTCAGTGCACCACACGAACCCGGTAAAGACAGGATGACCGGTGCGGAGTCCTTGGTCACGGCGCAGGATGTAGGGGTTGATCATCTCGAAGGTGATGTTGAAGTGGGCTTCGTTGTCGATCAGCGCATGAATGGCAGGGGCGTAGCGATCCTTCTTGGGCAAGATCACCGAGGCAGGAAGGATCAAGCCCTTCATAGGGAAGCCTGGAGTGGTTTCGTTTTTGGACATGATCGTCAGGAAGGCAGATGCGAGGGCGGGAGGGAAGACGAGGAGGGCGGGCGAAGCGCTCCCGGTGGCAGCGGGCTTTATGAGGGGGGGGGCATGGGCTGCTGGCGTCGACGGGGGGAGACATGTCGCGCCGAGGCCAACCTCCGCCCGGTGCGAAATGCTGGACCCTGTCCTCTGGCATGCGCAGCAGGCTCTTTCGCTTTTCCGCCGACCCGACGCTGCCAGGCCAGTCAGTCGTATACGCCCCCCCCGTCGCTCCGCGCTCTCGGTACCACCCATGGCCCAGAAGATTCGGAAGAGACTCGGAAGAGACCCATCGAGTGGTCGGAAGAGACTCGGAAGAGGAATTTTTCATGGAGTGTGTTATTATTATCATTCAACACTGAAAACATGGAGAGAATACCACCGCGGAACTCACTCGGAAGTGATTTGGAAGTGAATATGGAGTGAGAAGCTCTTTTGGGGGCCGGTTGGGGGCATTGGAGAAGAAAAAACAAAAATTTTCAAGAAAAAAAAGATATTCCTGGCCGGGAAGGATTTGGGGCCCACGCTCGCATTCATGGAGTGGACTCGGAAGAGACTCGGAAGTGAAGCTCGCTCGATAAACATGGTGTGGGGCTGAAAACTCGTAAGAGACTCGGAAGTGAAACGTCGTCGCTTGTGAGCGGGTTGGAAGAGGATTGGAAGAAGGGGTTCTACACCCTCGACATGGGGGTTTCCTTCGATTTCCTGCCAGACCCTCCTGCCGCCCAGCCTCTAATGTGCTGTGTGAGCAGCCAGGAAGGATGCACCTCTCCCAACCTGCCCATACCCAGCGCCGAGCCAGGATATGGGGTGGGATCACGGTCATGGAGTGCGCAAGTGCCACTACCCGTTTCCACCGAGGATCACGGCCCTCCATGCCACCACTCCATCACTCATTGCCACGGCACACATGCCCCACTCCATGATGATATTTTTCATTGATTATGGAGAGGAAATGTATATTCATTTCTTTTGATTTCATGAATGTATGGAGTGATATCGTCGAGTGCCAAAATGTCTCGGTGGAGACGGGAAGCCCCCCCTTTTTTCATGGAGAGGGTATCGGTGAAAACGGGTGAGAACACTAACAAATTCAAGATTTCAGACCATTTTGAATAAAAAAAGTGAATTTGAAAAATTTGAAAAATTTGCATTTGCGTTTTGTTGGGCCAAAGGTCCGGGGAACGACCGGCACTCCATCGTTCACCACCCTCTCACCCGTTTCCACCGAGAAAAATGGCCACACTGAGATCATGGAGAGGAAAAGTGCTTCGCCCAGCAAACGATCCACTCCATCAGGATGTCCTCACCCGTTTCCACCGACTTCCACCGGTCATTTCTACCACTCCACGATTCGTGAGTTGTACGCTCTTGTGCATTAGATTTCCGGATTCATGGAGTGGGTGTGTCGGGGTTGTGCATTAGAATTCTGCATGGAGTGAGTGGTATTTGTACCTTCCTTGGATCTCAAGGAGTGATGTTATCGAGTGAGGGTGTGGTTGTGTCAGTGCTGTGTATTAGATATGGATTTCATGGAGTGAGGGTCTTGTCGTCGCTGCCAGCTACCCCAAAATACAGAAAATTCAAAAAATTTCAATCTCTTTCTTGGCCGGGGGTTTCAGCCAGCTCATCCAGGACCCATGGAGTGAGACGGGTTTCAGAGCGATCGGGGTCACTCCATGAACCATGGAGACGTTTCGGGTCGTGTGTATTAGAGCGGATCAGCGGTGCATGAGGCATGGAGTGGGCGTGCATCAGGACGACGGGTTTCTGCATTAGATATGGAGTGGGCTGTGTATTTGATGTCCGACATCTCCCACACCACCATCGTGTAGCGGGGGAGTACAGCTGTCCAGCCCATCACATATTCACCATCACCCCGTCATCATCCTCCGTCTTTGGCGCACCCAGCCAGCCCCTCAGTTCCTGCATCAGCGTGTGCAGCTGGTTGAACCGAGCGGACGACATGTTCTTGTTCAGGAGGATCTCCGAGGCGGCGTCGGTGTAGAGGCCAAAGATTCGCTTGTACACCCGGTTCGAGTCGATCGGGACTGAAGAAGTCGTCAAGGCAAACTTTGCCTCGACGATGTCGTCGTTGAGATCGCAGGACTGGTCGTCAACGAAATCGAGCAAGTCGTTGAATCGTGCGCTGGCCGTGTCGGTGCGCTCGAGCTTGATGCGCTTGGCCTTGCCGACGGAGCCCCTGGTGTCCGGGGTAGGCGGGGACTCGAACAGGACGGGCGAACGTTGGCGGTTGTAGATGAACGAGGAAGACATGATCGATGAAGGTGGTGAACGAGGACCAGCGGCACCAGCGGCACCGGCGGCCCTTTTGTACCTGGTCGGTGCTATCGGACACTGCAAAGTCCGTGGTGCCCCATCTAGTTGGCGTGGACGGTGGCCTTGCCTTTCCCCTTCCCGTCGATCACCTGGTCGTGTGCACCGTTGTCTTCAGGCGGAGCTTCAAAGGCAGGGGGCTTGAATGGTGCGATCTCGAATGCGGGGAGTGGCAGTGACTCGGCGTGCTTCCGCTCCTCATCCGGCATCTCATTGTACCGCTCGATCATGCCTTCCAGCTCGCGCTGGCGATACTCCAGCACAGACGCCAGACGCTTGATGTCGAACCACAGAGACACCGTCTCCTTCTCGGGAGGGACTGGGATCGGCCCCGTCGTGGACTTGAGCGCTTCGATGTGCTCGTTGAAGGCCTTGGTCGACTCCTTCACATGCTTCTTGTGCTCGTTGATCAGCTCGGTCAGCTGCGACTGCACATAGTTGACGTCGGGGACTTCGAGCGGATTGTCCACCCACGGGACCCAGCGGCCCACCGGCATCACAAAGACGTCGAAGGAAGGGTCCGTGTTGCGAATGGCGTGGGCCAGCGACTTTGCATCGTCCAGGGTATCGGTCACTCCCCGCAGCTTGAACGCTTGGATGCTGCACTTGTTTCGGGGGTTCAGCGGAGATACCATCGAGATGCACGCAAAGCGCTGGCCGGGGATCGGGGCATCGTCATGGGGAAGAACGGCGGACATGTTTTGGTTTGTGTGTTGTCGTCGGATGACATAGACCGGGGGAAATTAGTAGTCGTCGTAGAACGCGCCTTCAGTGTCGTCGTAGATCGTTTCGTCGACCGGACCTGCTCCGGCCATGATGGACGACGCATAGAGGTTGTATGGATTGAATTGATAAAAGAGACCAGGGGATGCCGCGGGTGTGCTGGTGGACAGGATCGATGTCGTTGGATAGAGCGATTCGCTGTCGAGCAGCGGCTTCAAATCGTGGCTTTCGATGAGCTCGTCGAGTGCGTTGTCGATGTGGTATTGGTCCACGCCAAAGAGCGAGGGTGTGAAGTTGGTGTTGTTCAGCGGGGTGCTGCGAATATACGGCGACTTGTCAAAGAGGCTGCGCATTGGCTCGGCCGGTGTCGTCCGCTGCTTCATCAGCTTGACGTGCATGCCGATGATGTCCTTGAGGACCGTTTTCAGATCGCGGTTGCCGATCGAGGGCTGAGTACGGGCGGCCCAGGGCGAGTTGCCGCTGGAATAGGAGAGACGGTGTCGCAGGGGTGCAAAATCCGATTCAGTAAGGGTCGGGCCCGGCGAGCTGGTGTAGGTGTCATCGTCGTCGTCGTTCGTTGGCTTCTGTGTTAGGTTCAGGGGGGTTGCGGGCATGCTGGGTGGTGGGGTGTACGTCGTCTGTGCTGAACTTGTTCCTGAAGCGGTCAAGGGTGGGGGAATAGATTCACCGACCCGAAAATTAGATGCATTGGTGTTGGTGTTGGCTGGACCGCTGTAAATTGGAGGTTTGGCATCCCATGTCGAACGAGCGGCTTGTCCCGTACTGGATGAACCCGGTTGGAATGTGCTTACTTGGGGTGCTGGCGCTGGTTGGGTTATGGTGCCTGTTGAACTGGCGTTCGATACTCTACGCGCAGATGCAGATATAGTTTGTTTCACAGTCGCAATTTTCGCTTTAATTGTGGGTGAAAAATTATCATATAATCCATTGAATTGTACAATATTATTTTCAATGTCTTCAATTTTATCGTCGAGCCATTCGGGACCTAGTTCATCCGTGAAACTCGCTTGGAGGGCTTTGCCTTCTTCAGTGGTCTTTATGAATTTAAGATATTTTTCGTTTGCAGCGCCGAAAGTAAGTTTAGTCTTTAATATGTTTTCATCGATCCCTTCGATTTTTTTCAGGTAATCGGGGCTTCCTTTATCGATTAGTTTGCCATAGGCAGTCTCTTGATTTTTGAGTTCTTCCAAAGCATCATGTATCGGAATTTCGTAATCAGTGACAAAAGCAGCTTCGAGTCTCAGCTGCAGATCTTTCTTGGCCTCCAAGCTCCTCTTGAGTTCATTTAGGTCATGTAAAACTTTCCGAACGTTCGTATCTGCTTTTTTCAGGCTCGTCTTCCATTTTTTGATAAATTCCTTTTCATTAGCAGCACCCTCTAGTTTTTCCAGCCTATCGGAGTCAATTTTAAGAAGCGGTTGTGTGTTTTTTGCAATAGTAGTGTCATTGATACGGTCAATTTGAGCTTGGATGTCTTTGAGATATCCATCAATTTTACGCACAATGTAACCTTTGTTTTTGATGGTATTGGCGATGTCGGTTTCCAGATTCGTGGCGCTTGCTTGATCTGATTCAACATCTGCCAGTGCAATGGTGTGAAGATCTTTGGCATCTTGAATCGTTTCCCAATCGCTATCAATGCCCCCATCCTCCCATGTATGTTGATAATTCGGTGCTTCGCGCATGTCTACTTCTCTATCCAACGCCGCTGTTGGTGGTTTAGGGAGATGTGAACCCCACACAGATGCTGAAGAGTCCGGTACCTGTGATCCAAGTGGATTACTGATAAAGAGGTTCGATCCTGTGACAGGTCCTGGAGCATCCAGAGGTTTACCAAGGCTGACGGGTGGTTCGGCCAGTGGTGCGGAAACGGGCGCTCCGGATGGATGGGGGAA